GGGTCACAGCAGCGGCGACCGCAGCGCCTCTTCCCGAGGGGCGTCCTGCGAGCCTGCTCCCGGACTCCCGTACTCGCACGCCGACCTGGAAGACGACGCTGCTGAGGCGCAGGGAAGCTGGGGCCCGTGCGGCTCTTACTCACCAGCCAGGCTCAGCTCCCCCCTGGTTCCCGACGCAGCAACTGCCCGCAGCCACAGCGTCTCCGAGCTCACAGATGCGGGGCGAAAGGTCCAGCAGTCACACCGACGCCTCCCCGCACCGCGCCTGCAGGAGGCGTGCGCGAGCCGGCACCAGGATCCCTGGGAGTTGTAGTCCAGGCGTCTGCACCATCTTTGGCTGGCGCCAGCTCCATCTGCCAGCAGCCGGTGGTCCGTTTTTTCTCTCTGCTTCCTGTCTCCTCGACTCATCCTCCACTCCTTAAGAATTGATGTAGGAGCGTTTCCCAGAGAGGCCTGGATCCACTTTTTGGCATTCCAGACCAGTATTTTTAAAGTGTGAAACTGGCAGGACCCTCCTGTAATTTCAGTGCTTTGGGAAGCTTAGGCAAGAGGTTCTCAAGTTCAGCTCAGACTAGTGCAATTTAGTGACTTCTAAGACCCTGTCTCTCACCCCCACCTCTTGACATGACCACAAAAGGGTATAGCCTAGCCCGTTCCAAAGGCTCAGGTATTTCAGTGACAAGTAAACAGCAAGCTCAAGTATTTCAGGGGCGTTTGTATTCCAATCAAGGTAGATGTGGGGAACTGGAACCACTAAAGAGCTTGATCTTTGAGGGAGATGTGCAAGTTATGGAGCTAAAGTTGCAGGGGATTCTAGATGAGGACTTGGGAAGAGGACAGGTGGGGGAGAGAAAAGAACAAAGGAGGAGCAGAAAACTCAATAAGGATCAAGAAATATGGCACGAGGGGAAATCCCATTAAGTTGTGCCATATTTTGGAAGTCAATTTTCAAAAGCAAGGATGAAAAATGAAACTGTAATTGGATGTGGTGGCACATGCCACTAATCTCAGCACTCTTGAGAGGCTGAGGCAGGAGGGTCAAAGTCCCATCTCGGCAACTTAATAAAACACTGTTTCAAAATTTAAAACTGAAATGAAAAGAGCTGAGCATGTGAAGGCCCTGGGTTCCACACCCAGTACTGAAGGGGAATAAATAGGCATGAAAAGAAACGGGAAGGAGGAAGAGAAAGACTGACAATAATGATGACAAAGTTTTGTTTAACAATCTATCCTAAACCCACCACCTCTCATCATCTCCCCTAGTACCAAGTGGTTCGACACATCTTCCTTTCTCACCTGGATCTTCCCAGCGGCCTCCCCACCTGGGGCCCTCGATTCTGCCCTCATGGTCTTCATAGCGTGGTTAACGGATGATTGCACAGCACACTGCAGATCATGTCCTGTCTCCCCTCAAAAGCCTGAAGAAATTCCCCCACTTGAATCTCACTCACATTAGAAACCTGGAGTCTTTCCAGTGATCTACATGACCTAACTGCCTGTTATTTTTGTTAGAGAAAAACACAAGAACAGCTTTATTTCATACAGTGTCATTCACACATATTTCATGCTCTAATTTACACATAATAAACAAAGTGAAGGTTCCAATGAATCAATAAGAACCAGGACAAACCGGTCCAGAAACATTCTTTATCAAAAGGAGACACTAAGAGTCAAGCCTCCATGTTCTGCCCAATTCAATTTCTTTAGACCCAAAGGTCAGATTTTACTAAAATTCCACGCCAACATACTAAAAGGTAGAATTGTGGTGTGGGCCCCCAAAATGGCAGACCTTAAAAGTTCTACAAGAAAAGGTGTATTTCTAGAAGATGCCTACAGTACTGAGAAAAATAGGGTTGTCAGCCATAGGGAAACCCAGGAACATCAGGCCCTCAGAGGAGGTTCACTTTCCCACTGCCGCAGTAACTGTCTGGGCTAACACAAGGGAAGGGGAAGGGCAAACTAGGAAGCACCGTATTAATGCAGGGGAGGCGTCACCAATCTCTGAAGAGGACAGCTTTGATCCTGAAACACGGGCTGACACTGGGAAGAGAAGTTCAACGTGGGCCAAGTCATTGGAGGGCTGGAAAAACGTGGGCAGGGATAGCTCTAAGGGGGGTGGTGCTGTCACTGTGACAAGAACATGCTGATGAGCCACTGTGACTTTGAGAAGGAACAGTGACAAGCAATTGGATTTCATGGCTTGACCTAGGAATGTTGGGTTTGGAAGCGTTAGAATAACTCAATATCCCACGTGGAAAGTATTACTGGCACCCAAATTTATGCCATGAAAGTTCATGGTACGAGCAACTTAGTGATAAAAACTTTATAATTAATATCGAGCACCGAATATCGCTTTTCTTCTGTAGTAAAAAAATCCCTTCCATGTTCAGATGACACAGATAGCATGTTCGTGTCAGTTTTCAAAACTAAACATAAGTGGATCACCATAAATGTTTATGCAAAATACCGACTTCAACAAAATACAAAGCACTTTATCTTTCAGAAACTGAACACAAAGCAAGATTTTTTGCAAAAATTTTTCATAGGCAAAGGATTAAAAATGATGTTAGTTATACATATATGGTCACAATTTTGCCTTAAAAAGTGTTGCAAAATGAACATAATAAGTGCTTGCCTATTATCATCTCCTACTTCTTTCGCCTTGTTTCCTCCACTACCGCCAAACAATGTCCTTTCGCTTCCTTGAACAAAAGATTTTGCTTCTGCTCAGAGCTTTTGCATCTGCTCCTCCCTTTGCCTGAAATGTTCTTCCAGGAAGCCACACACACACACACACACACACACCTCTTCCTATTCCCTTTGAAAGTTTTTTTCCTCCAAAACAGCTATCATTCTCTGACATATTCTGTATCTTGCTTTCTTTACAAAATATTTTTTACCTCCTCCAACTACAACGGATACTCCCTTCAGGTGATTTATGTGTACTTTGTTCATCTTCAGTACTTACAATGCCATTTGTACACAAATATTTATGGAATGAATTGTCAAATGAATCCATCTCATAAATTCAAGAGCAGTTCAACATTAGAAAATTTGTCCACGTCATTCTCTGTTAGAATACATAAACAGCAGAAAACTGTGTACTAAAAATCATTTGACTGGGCCGGGATTTAGCTCAGTGATTCCACCACCTACCTCCCAGTATCAAAGTCCCTAGTACCATTCCAGGTGCAAAAAACAAAACCAAAAAATCATTTGATAAAACAATACTTATTTCTGTGATTTTAGAGAAACAAAAAAATTCTGAACCAATTAAATAAGCTAGTTATCAGAGATCTTCAGTAAACACAACACTTCCTGGTGAAACATTTGAAGCATTCCCATTCAAGGTCAAGCCAAGAATGGCTTCAGTCTTCACAAGTACTCCAAGAAGTCCAGAAGGAGAAACAAAGAGCAATAAACAATACTAAGAATGCTCCGGCTTGTGGCAAGGACCGTGTAGTCCTTGCCCACAGCAGCTGGCCAGCAATAGCTCCTGCACAGCCACCCCAGCAGACAAGAGGACACAGGTGCATCGAGGGGGTGATGCACATTATCCAGCTCCATGTCATGCACTGGGATGCAGGGCCTTCTGTGCTCTGGGAAGCTGAAACAGGGAGCTCTTCCTCCTCTTCATACTTTGGGGGCTCTAGAATATGATTTATGCTCTGCCAAAGAAATGATTAATCCAGAAGGCTGTGATGTAGAACACAGAGATAACTGCAGAAAGTACAACTCTTTACCTGCATCATGGAGGTGTCTAGCAGAAGTGGGAGCCCTAGGCAGCCTGCTTATGCTCAAAGACCGTGATTCCCATGGGAACCTTTTCTGCTTCTGTTTCCTGAGCCTGCTGGCTTCATCAGCTTTCTGTTCCTCCAACAGACACCTGAAGTAATCTACTTATAAAGAAAAATGTTTCTCGTACTTTTAAAGTTTTTAGTCCATGACTGACTGGCATGGTTGCTGGGGCCTGTGGGAACACATGATGGCAGAAATGTGTGGTGCAGAAAACTGCTTAGCTCATGGCCAGGAAGGAAAAGAGAGCAAAAGGAAGTGGTGGGAATCTCAGTGTCCCCTTCAAGGGCAGGGCCCAAGTGACCTTCCAAATTCTCAGTAGGCTGTACCGCACGGAGGTTCTGTCAACTCCCAGTAGTGCCACCCTGGCCTTGAACATGCGGCCCTTGGGGAGTATTTGAAATCTACTTGACATCTGAACTATGGCACTGTTCTTGAACACTGCCTCATCAATCTACTCTGACATCATTCACAGAAATTCCTTCTATGCATAGGAGAGCCAGAGTTGATTTCTGTTGCTTACAACAAAAACACCTGCTGAGTACACCAGGGTATCCATAAATAACGATAATTTAAAGCGTTTTTCCAACTAAGCAGTGTATAGTTTTATGTTTTTTATAGTAATCTGTCCATTCATTGGTTCAGCCAGCTTTGCACCTAAGACTGGTAATATGAAAATTTTAACGGCACAGTGTGTTTCCAGTTTATTTAAAGAGACAATCTGTACTGCAAGGAAGGCTAGGATGTTCGATCTGAGACACTCCCCAAACTTTTGTCATGTTTTTTGAGTCAGGATCCTGCTATGTAGTTCAAACTGGTCTCAGCCTCGCAGAGATTTTCGTGCCTTAACTTCCTGAGTGCTAGGATTACAGATGTGTGCCAGCAACCTGGTAATCTGAGCCCCTTGTGAAATCAACTCAGCAGTCAAAACTTGAGACAAAAAACAAAACAAAGCCTGACAAACTTGGGACCAACAGGAGTCAGATAGGATGAACCCTTTTATACGGGCAGCCTATGTCAAGATGGACCAAAGAAAGGGCAAAAGGAAGCTCAGGGTTCTGAGATCTATCTTTAGCATAAAAAAGTAAGAACATTCAAAGACCAAGGGACCAGGCTGTAGGAGTGATGGAGAGATGGAGAATATTACTGGATAGGAGGAATAACTTCTAATATTCTAGGTAACTACTGTTAACGACAATTAATTATATATATTGAATGGCTAATAGAAAAGATTTTCAATGCTACCCACCAAGAATTGATAGATGTTTGAGCCAGCCATGGTGGCACATGCCAGTAATCCCAACACTCAGGAGGCTGAGGCAGGAGGATCACTGTGAGTTCAAGATTACCCTGTGCTACATAGTGAGTTCAGCTCAGTCTTAACTACATAGTGAGACCCTGTCTCAAAAAACCAAAGAAAAAAAAAAGAATTCATAGATGTTTGAGGTCATGAG